GGCAGGCAGCTTCTGTGACACTTACAGGCTTGGAAACCCTCTGGGGCAGTTCTCTGTCCTCTAGGGGTGCTGCGAGTCAGAATCCACTGGACAGCAGTGAGTCTGGTGTTGGTTTAGGGTGAGATCATGAGTGACCAGCAGGTACTAGCTGCAAAGCCAAGATGACAGTCAGGACAGCAGAACCGCGCCCACTTCATGGTGTCCACTATCGTCCTGTCCGTCTGTCTCTAGTCTGGTAACAGCAAGCGCTCCAAGTCCTGACAGTCACATACTTACAAGAAAGGCTACTAAACTCAGTCAGACACACGGCAGTACAGAAGTCTGTCCGTAAAATTCTCTACATACGTTTATTAAAAACTCTTGTTTTGTAGGTGGGAACTTGGTTTCAACAGCCACCAATAGAAGTTGTATCCTGGGGTCTCCTCACACAGGTAAGGCATCTCTATAATTACTATCTTTAGTCTTCCTCACTTTGGAAAACTCACCCTCCCACCCTCACGTGCGCAAGCACACCCACAAGTGCATGTGTGTTTGCACACACACACGCATACATGGCCCAAATTCATTTTAAAGTGAAGCACACAGGAACACTGTCAGTCTCCCAGCCTCCAACAAAGATGAGGTGCAGTTGGGGGTCTGCCCAACCCTTTGCTGCAGTGGCCTCTTCAAAGCGGCCTTTTCTGGAACACTCCCTGGGGAAGTCATCCACACTCATCTCATTTGGACTTCAATGCTTCCTCCCACTCCACGGCCGATTCGGAGCTCTTGGGAATTGCTGGGAATATTGATTGCATTTTACTTCGAAAGTCTTTCATCTAAAGAAGAAAAAAAATCAGTGATTAAATGTTGCAAGACGGGGAAAGCAGCCAAAACTATTAGAGCCTGATACCTTAGCTGACTGGACAACACACTTCACTGCTCCCAGGCCCAGGACGGTCTCATCTAGCCACCAGTGCAGGGTGCATGCCACCCCAGCTGCCTCAGAAGGAAAATGAATGCATCTCTCTCCTTCCTCCAAGTATAAATCTATCAGGTCTTAGAATACAAATGTCCCCTTGGAATCTCAAAGGCAACGTGCCCTAAACTGTCAGCCCTCCAGGATATGCAGCCCCTGTCACAGGGACAGGGCTGGCTCCCATTGAAGGTTGTCACTGGTATCTGAATATATGAGTACAGTGAAACCATTCCAAGTTAGAGGAGCTTTACAGCCGGAGGGCGGGAGTGGGGAGAAGAAACGCAGTAGGTGTTCAGCCAGTCTGGTGGAAGAACGCATCGGCGCGCACAGGTAAAGCAGTGTGCTTATTGGGGTGCTGCTGGACACTCTAGTGGGGGGGTGCTTATTACCAGCAGAAGGCTGCTTCAGAGCCAAGAGCCAGCGCTGAGCAGTTGGAGGGGAAGTTCACAGGGTCTCACGGTTCGCTGGGAGCCTGAGGGAGGGAGGAGTATCTTTCCAGCAGGCGGTACTAGCTGCATACTCTGGTGGGTCCTCCTTACACTCTGTCCTGTTATGAAGACCCTGCTTGAGAAGCACTGTGGCACTAGGCTCAGTTTTCGTCCACAGCCGTGCCGAGCGGGACTGTCCCCGGGACCAACTCTCCTGACTGGGTCTGTGAGACTCCCTGGCCTGGAGAGCAACATGTGAACCATTTCTCAGTGTGGTCAGTGTGAGTCGCTCATTGTTCCCTTTACGCAGATGTTTCTTTAATTTGAGGCCGACTCTGTTTCTTGTTTGGGATTTGTTACTTCCTAGACACCGACTCCAGTTGTGACAGCATCTGGAGCCCAGCCTCTGGCATCAGACGGCGCTCCGTGCAGACCCTAGCTCTAGTGCTGGGACGGCTACTTTATCGCCCCATGCAGAGGCGTCCCCGTGTGTAGAAAGGGGTGACGAAGGCCTGTGTCGAGCTGTGAGGGTAAATGACGGGCACGTGACCTATGCTGTGAGGGGCGTGCCCCCCACACAGCGGCTTTGATCATTACAGCATCATCCAAACTCGTGCTGTGCGCCAAGAACAAAGCTCACGCGGCAGAGAAGTTCTCGCTTGTCAGAGCCTCACTGACGAGTCCCGCGTCGTCTCGGCTTCAACGGGAGGCAGCAGGTTGCCCAGCAGGTCGTCTGTGTGGGTCTCTGTGCAGTCACCTCCGCGTCCAGTCCCACCTTCACGTGGGCCCCACCTGTACCATGATGAACCCTCCACGAGGCCCGCAGCCCCAGGTGGCCCGCAGCCCCCAGGGTGGGGGACTGGAAACAATGGTGTAGTGGGCTGTG